TGGGACAGCTGACCTGGAGGTTATCTCTGAACCTTTGGACCCTGGAGAGAGGACAGTTGCATGGGTGTCGCAGTTGACAGAGTCCAGCCGGTCTCGGGGAGATTTTACTGATGTTTCAAGCGTGGATTCAGTCTTGCCAGCTGCATCGGGCTTGTCTGTTGAAGTGGACTTTGACCAAACTGGTTCTAGCATGGCGTCCCAGGAGGTCGATATTGCTACCAGCTGTGGGGAGGGTGTACAAGGATGCTCTACTACACCTGACGCAGTGGTGGATGTAGTTGCTCCTGCCATTGCTGCTCAGTCCCCAATGGTTGACTATAGCCAAACCGGGAATGGTTCCCAGATCAGAACCAGACTTGGGCGACTTGTCAAACCTGTGAATAGACTGATCCAGACAATGTCAAATCAAGTCGTGGTTCGTGACAGGTTTGATGTGAATTCAGTTTGTAAGTCCTTGATTTCGTCCTTCTCTGACTAAATGTTCTGTTTATATGCCTACCTAAGTGATGGGATTTGTACTTGCTGTCATGTGCTCTACATTTTTGTTTTTCTTTTTGTTTTTTTTCTTTCTGTTGAGCCATGGTACACACCTTGTGAGGGGTTATTAGTAGGGTGTATTTCGGGAACCCTGCTGCCAGTTGCTGGGTTGGGAGTTTAGCGCTGCTCCTATCCCACTTCATCCTTAGGGATACGTTTAGTTGGTGTCTGTGATTTTTGACCTCTGTTTGGTTGGTGCGTACTAGTGTGGGTACCTAAGGCTCAAATTTGATAAAATTCAGTGGGGGTGAGTGTAACGGAGTTAAAAATACATCTGAAAAACATGCACTTACCTGTTCTTAATTATTATTTTAAGTGTGAATTTTATCGTTTTTTTTTTAATTGTATTTTATTTTGAAAACCCAGAAACCAGATCTCACTCTAGCGTTTAGAAGCTGCTAAGGCTTCCGCTCCTCACAGCAAGCGTTTGCACTGTGAGGGTAAGTTCTGTAATGAAAGGCTCTGGCATTTTTATGGTTTCTGGAGTGAATGCTGTTACATAAGTTGTACATATCGATGTATATAGGTTCATATTGATGTTAGAAAGTTTCTGTGTAACCGAAACAAAGGCTGGTTGCTGTTAAACAGTGTTTCTGCCGTATTTATGCTCTTTGGCAGTAAGCTTTTGTCAGCCCCCTAGTGGTTGCTGCGCATAGCAGGAAATGTGTTTGGATTTACTGTTTTTCTGTGCTTTTTGTGAT